GTGAGTGTGCATCTGTGTCACGTCCTGTTCCATTCTGCACAGATGTCTGGCCTAGGCTTCTGGTATCCACTACTCTTTTTACAATTCTTGTTTAGTTTTTCTAGGTGTTTCTGGTTTTCTATTCTATGTCTGGTTTTCTTTATGCTGGGTTCATTCCTTTATTCCGTTCCTGGAATTCACGTCTCCTGGATTCCTTTAAATGTTTGTTTTTTGTTGCCATACCCATTCCTTTGCCATTAATCAACAGTGGTCTCATTTCCTCTGCTCCTTTCTTTGCAGGTAAGTACTGTGTGTGTTTTATTGTTGTTTATTTAATCATGCATATTTAGGCAGTTAGGACCCAACGTAATTGGAGTACTTTGGCGCAGTGGTGGGCTGCATACATCTTGGTCATTTATGTATGTCTAAATCTCAAATGTTTATTACATATATAGAACTTAGTTATGTCTCCTCTTGTTTTGCCTTGTATCTCTTGTCTTGTTTTATTTTGTCTTGTATTCCCAGTTCATGTACAGTCCTGTCCTGCCATGTCCATGTTTCCCTCATGTATTGTGTACATGTTCTGGGTTCTGCTTTCTGTCCTGCTCTGGTTCTGGGTTCATCTAGTCTTGTCTTGTTATCTTGTTTGGTGCCTGTTCTAGTCTTACCATGTTTCAAGTACTGGATACTTATCTGCTTAATATCAGCTCCTGGCAACCACTAAGATGCATCAGGGCTCTGGTATGTGGCCGCACAAACCATGGTGCTCACCACCAGGGGGCATGTGGTTACCCTGAACCAGACTGTGATTGTCCAATTCCACGCTGCGACTCCTATCATCATCATCATCATCATCATCATCATCAGGCATACAGGGGTCGCAGTCTTCAGGCTGCCACCAGTGAGTCTTTCAGTGAGTGTGTATGTGTTTTGTCAGTGAGTGTGTATCTGTATCTGTCAGTGAATGTGTTTGTCTGTTGATGGTTGTGTGTGTCTGTCTGTGAATGTGAGTGTGCGTGTCAGTCTGTCAGTGAGTGTGTATGTTTCAGTGAAAGTGTGTGTTGGTTAAACAGTGTGTGTGCCATTGACTGTGATGACTGTGTATCTGTCAGTAAGTGTATGTCAGTGTATGCATCAGTAAAGGCTGGTGTCTGTCTGGCAAAGAGCATGTTGGTTTTTAACAGGAAGTGAAATTTATAAGGGGGAGAGGGATGCCTTTGTTTTGTCATGCCTAGGGCAGCACAAAACCAGAATACACCACTGATTCTGCAGTGGGGTATTTTACACTGTCCAGCTTTAATTCTGTTTTCATACGTTGTCTATAAGAATCTAGTCGACCTTCTAACACTAAGCTCTGGTTTGCAGTCTACAGTATCCCGATGAGTGATAAAATTAATTATATACTTTATTATTAAGTATGCAGTTACATGTAGTGATGTTTTTACCATGCTTATTGTGTTTTCACCCTAGTGTAAAACCCATCTGACTTCTCAGTTTATTGAGTTTTGCATGGAATGAAATAGGAAAAGGACAATCTCCATTGATTTGCTACACTTCTCGTTGCAAATAACTGTATTCGTCTGAAATTCATGTTGTTGACAATAATCACACAAAATGAGAAAATATTCTGCTGAATTTCGTTTTGTGAATAGATGAATTAAATTTTTCTTCAATTTATCTTTACTCAACTAATATTCTTTTCATGGGTGTTGACAATTATATCCTTGATAAACCACATGGGCTTCAAAACATCACAAAAAATAGACAGCAAGTTTACACATGAATCATACAGTGTACTCAATCAAAATGATGCAAAGAAAATCTTAAGTCTCACTGACATTGTTAAGGAAAGATTCACTTTACTGTGTGTATTCAGGTGTGAAAGTGAATGTTGTGTATTTTGAACATAAGACCATTCATTTTCTTCATATCACTATAAATAGCTAAACTCACACATATTGCTGGATATAGCAGGTAAAATCAAGATGTGTGATGAGTTCTCTGCATTCTGGCACAAGTTAGAAAATGTCATGGTACAACAGACATTTAATTTTAAAACAATACGGGTTTTATAGACTCTTTGCACAAAATTTGACATCAATAAATTACTAGTGAAACATACCAAATTTTGCATCAATAATTAAGTGTTATATAAAACACCAAAGGATGGTTCACTGAAGCTCAAGATTCATTGACTTTGAAATGAAATGTTGTATTAAATATACTTTATACATATCTAAATTAATATTAAGTGACATCACTGAACATAGTGAATAGTGCATCTTGAATGCATATCTGTATCTAAATATTGTGAAAAACACTGAAGATTAAATGTATAAAAAAAGATCAAGTTTCTCCAATTTTGAAGCATCTTGCACAATGTCTAGTTTAAAAGTGCATAATATAAATAGGGACACAAATAAAAAAAGAAGTTTGATAATGTAAGTGTCCGCTTTTAAAAGCTCCACACAAAGCCCAATATGAGGTTTATACTAAATCAGAGCAGACATATGGACAATTAACAAAGGTTTGTACTTAAAAACGTTAAAAAAAAATATCAAAAAGGATAGGATACAAATAAACTAATTGGTATTTGATAACTTTTGATAAAATGTTTTTACAGTGTATGCCATAACTAGAGCTATACATAGTTTATGAAATACATTTGAGTGGGTAACACACTGGTACTTTGAAAGTCAGAATTTACATGATCATGTTTAATCTGTTTTAAATTATTTAATCTTTTTTACCCTAAAAATATAATTTGTGATAATATGTCAATGCAATTCAGGATTTTAATTTAAATGGCATTCCCTATACTTACAATAACATGAACTAAGCAGATTACACTTTGTATTGAGCTAAATATTCTACAAATCAATCGATTGTAGCCAATTGCAACTAGTGCTATTTTTATTCTTTTAAAAGTGATGTTTATGTATCCCTATTATTAAAATTCACATTCAAATTTGTCCAAATACATGACAAACAAAGAATAAATATATAAGCTCATTGCATACCTTGATACCAACAAGATTATCAGAAACAGTTATATGCTAAAATATAAAGCATGACACAAGCATAACAAATATAACAATAAACATATCTCTGAGAGAGACACACTTATAAAGATATATTCCCACATGAACATTTTCTACCAATAATCAGATATGCTCATCTTACGATCTAATATATTAATCTAATATTTCCACTTGTCCACTTTTCTTGACTTTCATTCTGGTGCAGCCAACTCTATTTTACAATGCCATGTGATTTGTTCAACTAGACTGTTCCTATTTGTGGTATTAGGGGATTTCCAATTCCTTGCTATTATTATTTTTGCAACAGTTAGTGTATAAAAATCTAGGGGGTATATCCCACTGTATAATGTTTGCCATTAGATGGAGTAGATACAAAACAGGATACATTTATATTGCTTTACCATACAGATTATTCATAAAATAAACACTTGTTTCCAAAACCTCATAATCAATGGACATCAGAAATGTACAAAGTTCTCTATAAACATTCTGTATCTTCAAAGCCAGTTATCCATATCTACAGGGTTATTTCAGTTTCATCAACCTAGCTGTGTTGATTTGTATTGAGTTTCTCTTAAATTAAGGAAATGTATGTGTTTATGTGTAACCATTAGGGATGAATGATTGTTGAATCAAGATCCTTCTTGGAATCATTTAAAAAAATTATCTGTGCACATTTTGACTAAAAACCTTTATAGTTTAAATATTCAAGGTCTCGAGAACTTCGACTGCTTCAGATCTACCTGTATATATATGTTTAGAAAGGACATCTCTCTCCTTTAGTTAAATATTTATTTCCTGGGTATATGCATAACAAGATTGGGGAAAGGTTTTATTTTAGCTTGGTTAAAAAATATAATTTATTTTATAGATTCCTCTATATCTCCAACATTCCAATTTGATATTCTCCATCACCAATTCTAAAATATTTAGATGTAAAGAGTAGAGTTGAGCGGACACCTGGATGTTCGGGTCCGGCGGGTTCGGCCGAACTTTGAAAAAAAGTCTGGGTTCAGGCTCGATCTTGACCCCGAACTTGACCCCGAACCCAAACCCAATTGAAGTCAATGGGGACCCGAACTTTTGGCCACAAAAATCCCTCTAAAAAACTCCTTGAAAGAGCTAGAGAGCTGCAAAAGCAAGTAAAATGGGGATAAGAGTAGGACAAGTGCCCTGCAAACAAATGTGGATAAGGAAATCACTTAAAATAACATAAAAAATTGAAATACAGCTGAGTCATAAAATAGCACTAGATGGAATCTTTGATTTTAGCTTTGGAAGAACATAAATCAAAATCTAAAGCATGGCTGTCAGGAGGGCCACCACAATTATCCATTTGAGAGAGGGTTGGAGTGCAGGGTATTCTCTTTCATTATTCAAACGGAGCTCAACTCCTGATGCATGGAGCCTCTGCTAATGTGTACCTAGTTTATACTAAGTGACCCATAGGTTGAGGAAGCGGTGACCGTGGCGGTGGAGGAGGAAGCAGCTGTGGAGGAGGAGGATGAGTTAGCCAACACTGTATTTTATGTTTTTGGTTTTTTTAATTGTGGTAGCACACAAAATATTGGGACATACAAATAAAGAAACATTTGCGGCCTGCGGTGCATTTCTTGCAGTCCTGATGCATGGAGAAATGCTCAACTCCTGATGCATGGTGAAAAGGCCTTCACAACCCTCTGCTAATGTGTACGTAGTTTATACTAAGTGACCCATAGGTTGAGGAGGTGGTGACCGTGGCGGTGGAGTAGGAAGCAGCGGTGGAGGAGGAGGATGAGGTAGCCAACACTGTATTTTATGTTTTTTGGTTTTTTTAATTGTGGTAGCCAAAATATTGGGACATACAAATAAAGTAACATTTGCAGCCGGCGGTGCATTTCTTGCAGTCCTGATGCATGGAGAAATCCTCAACTCCTGATGCATGGAGAAAAGGCCTTCACAAGCCTCTGCTAATGTGTACCTAGTTTATACTAAGTGACCCATAGGTTGAGGAAGCGGTGACCGTGGTGGTGGAGGAGGAGGATGAGGTAGCCAACACTGTTTATATATAGATTTTTTTTTTTAATTGGGGTAGCCCCCAAAATATTAGGACATATAAAAAAAGACAACTCTGTTCCGCAGAGTAGCTGTTGACATTATAGTTGCGCAGGAACTTTGTTGACTCTAGAGAACCTCGGGCAAATCGCACATCCCCGTACTGGCGACTTTGCATGCAGATGTCATGCATATCAACTTTCAATGCAAGATTCTACGCCTACCATGGTGACCACGGGTAACGGGGAATCAGGGTTCCATTCCGTACAGGGACCCTGAGAAATGGCTACCACATGCAAGGAAGGCAGCAGGCGCGCAAATGACCCACTCCAGATGCGGGAAGGTAGTGACGTCAAATAACAATACAGGACTCTTTAGAGGCCCTGTAATTGTAATGATTCCACTTGAAATCCTTTAACTCTGATCAATTGGAGGGAAGTCTGGTACAGAGCCACTGAAGTTATGCTACAGCGCAGACAGGCGAGCAGCAGCAGGGTGACAACGCCAAAAGTGCGCACAGCCGCTACAGTGAATGTCACATCCTGTTCCAAGTTGCGGATCAGTCACATGATGGCTTCTGGTATCAAGTACTCTTTTTACTGAAGCTGTATCAGGGTCCTGGTATGTGGCCGCACAAACGCTGGTGCTCAACACCAGGGGGCGTGCGGTTACCCTGCACCAGACCCTGCTAATCCATTCCACACTGTGACTACTAACTTCAACATCAGGCATACTGGGTCCCGGTCGTCTGACCGCCACCCAGAGAGTGTCTGGGTCCTGGTCACCGGACTGCCCACCTCACTGTGAAGCTATGAATGGATCGTTAAATCTGGTACGAACCCGAACTTTGCAGTTCGGGTTTGCTCAACTCTATTATGGATCCTTTAATCGCTACATGTATTACTTGGATAACTGGTAATTCTCGAGCTAATACATGCCGACGAGCACTAGGGGACGGCCACTCCGCTTTTGCACCCTGCCTCTCTTATGCTGTGCTGGTGCCTCTATGCGACCAGCACCTCTTCCTCCAAACTGCACACGTCACTCGCATGACCTTGATTCCATGTGGGGTCTAGGACCTCATCATCCTCCACATGATCTTCCACCCACTCCTGAACCCTGCCCTCCTTGTACACTTCAGAAAGTCACATCAGTTGGCACCTGTGTTTTTCCAGCATCTAAAGTCTGCAAAAGGACATATGGAAATTGTTTTCGGATTTACTCCAGGCAACAGTTTTCCCTATAAACTGTCCTCTCAGTTTGACTTGTGAGGGTATTGCCCCAATATTGTTGAAGTAACTCTTGACTATTGATCACTGGTTTAAATACAGCAGCTTGTTATCTGGTAGTTTCTAGTGTAGAAAATATAAATTTGTTTTCTATCACTTAGATCTGTGTAACAAGTTTTGTAGGTGTGAAATAGTATTACAAGTGACCGATGTAGTAAAATCGAATCAAAGTTACGCTTCGATTTGACTCTCAGATATGAAGTGAACACCCCAAATATACTATTTAGCGCCCCCCAAAAAAATTGACTTTTTAAAACTCCAATGTAAGCTTTAGATTAGCATCAAAACAATTAGATTGTTTACAAGTGCACAGTAAGCACACTATTAGACGCTTCGATTTGACTCTCACACATGAATAACAGGCCCTAAAATGTACTATTTAGCAGATTAGCACCCAGAAAATAAGAATTTTTACAAGTGCGCAGTAAGCGCTCTATTAGATGCTTCGATTTGACTCTCACATATGAAGAACAACCACAAAATGTACTATTTAGCAGATTAGTACACATCATCTTCCAACCACTCCTTAACCCTGCCCTCCTTGCCGGTATGCACACTGCAGAAAGCCACAGCAGTTGGCACCTGTGTTTTTCCAGCATGTAAAGTCTGCAAAGGACATATGTAAATTGTTTTTGGAATTACTCCAGGCAACACTTTTCCCTATAAACTGACCTCTCAGTTTGACTTGTGAGTGTATTGCCTCAGAATTACAATATTGTTGAAGTAACTCTTAGCTATTGATCACTGGTTTAAATATAGCAGCTTGTTTAAATATAGCAGTTGTTTCTAGTGTAGAGAATGACCGATTTTACAAGTGACCGATGTAGTAAATTTGAATCAAAGTTACACTTCAGTTTGACTCTCAGATATGAAGTGAACACCCCAAATATACTATTTAGCGCCAAAAAAAAGAAAGAAAAAGATTTTTTAAAACTCCAATGTGAGCAGCAGATTAGCAGCAAAACTAGAATGTTTACAAGTGTGCAGAAAGCACACTATTAGATGCTTCGATTTGACTCTCACATGTGAAGAACAGGCCCCAAAATGTACTATTTAGCAGATTAGCAGCAAAAAAATTAGAATGTTTACAAGTGCGTAATAAGCACACCATTAGACACTTCGATTTGACTTTTAGATATGAAGAGCAGGCCCCAAAATTTACTATTTAGCAGATTAGCAGCAAAACAATTAGAATGTTTACAAGTGCGCAGTACGCGCACTATTAGATGTTTCTATTTGACTCTCAGATATGAAGAACAGGCCACAAAATGTACTATTTAGCAGTTTAGCAGCAAAGCAGTTAGAATGTTTACAAGTGCGCAGAAAGCACACTATTAGACGCTTCGATTTGACTCTCACATATGAAGAACAGGCCCCAAAATGTACTATTTAGCAGATTAGCAGCAAAACAATTAGAATGTTTACAAGTGCGTAGTAAGCGCACTATTAGACGCTTCTATTTGACTCTCAGATATGAAGAACAGGACCCAAAATTAGCTATTTAGCAGTTTAGCAGCAAAACAGTTAGAATGTTTACCACTGCGCAGTAAGACACTTCTATTTGACTCTAAGATATGAAGTGCACGCCACTAATGTACTTTTTAGCACCCAAAACATTTTAAGTTTTAAAACTGCAATGTGACAGCAGTATTTGATGATTCTATTTGACTCTCAGATATGAAGTACACCCCACTAATGTACTACCCCACTAATGTACTATTAAGCAGCAAAATAGAAAATACTTTTTAAAACTCCGATGTAACCGCGGTATTTGAAGCTTCTATTTGACTCTCAGATATGAAGTGCACCCTACCCCAGTAATGTTCTAGTTTGCAGAATTGTTTCCTAAGTTGTCCCTATAAGTGGCAGCATCCTCTCCCTACACTAATGAATAAACGTTTGCGTGCGGCGCTACGCACCTCCAGCTTATATATAGAGGCTGGGTCACATGCTGCACTGGCCAATCACAGCCATGCCATTAGTAGGCATGGCTGTGATAGCTTCTAAGGGCACACGAGTCAAACGCCTGTTTAATGGCTGCCCTGCAACCTTTGAAAACCGAACTCCAACCCGAACATACATTGATATGTCAGTGTTCGGGTCTGGGGTCCAAAAAACCTAATGTTCGGTACGAACCTGAACTTTTCAGTTCGGGTTCACTCAACTCTAGTAAAGAGTTCACCAATTTATTTTCTATATTTAATTTTCTTTTTATTTTATTCCAATCTTCTATTATGTTGCTTAGACTCCTCTCATCTGGCAAATATGCTTTTTGGCCATTGTGATTCCTTTGTTGCCAAAACAAAGAAGATATATCTCTAGTCTTAGAAAAATATTGTTCAATCTAAAACCATTTTTTAGTGTAATTAAAGCATGCATGAGTCTGCTTGCTATTGAGTATTTAAAATATCTGGCATACCCATGCATCCACGCTTTGTATTAACAGCTAGCGATTTCTAATTTATGCAGGGTTTTTTTCTTCACTCATATGAAATAATTTACACCAATTTTCTTGGTGTCTTTGTAGAATTTATCTAAATATGTCCACTTGTGAAGCACATAGGCCCTTAGTTAAAAAAGAGAATATCTTTATTTTAAAGAATCTAGGGATGGTGTAATATTAACACCTAAATATTTTATATGGTCTTGCACCCATATCAGTCCATATTTTTTGTACAATTATCCAAATATTACTCTTGTGATTTTTTTTTTAGAAAATGGACTAATGGATACTTCTTGGTATTATGGTCAAATATGTGGATAGAAATTAAAACATTGTAATATTAAATGGCAATACACTATAACAATCATAGCAAGTAACAGGCTAAAACTCCTCCTCCTGTAGTCCTGGAATCCTGGCAGAAATTGTGAAATGTTGACGTTGATTTTGAAGATATGACTGATCATGCAAAAACATTTATTTTATTGAAGGATAGT